GTGCGTGCGTGCGTGCGTGCGTGCGTGCGTGCGTGCGTGCGTGTGTGTGTGTGTGCGCATGAGTGATCGTTATTGTGGTGAATGGGATTAGCAGTCATGTCAAAAAAAGTCTACTATTTTTATGATTTTACAATGTGCATGTTTCAGGTTTTCTGCGGCGAGTTGTCTACGCAATAAGGCCGATTTGTATTTTATTCTAAAGCTATTGATGCTCATTTTATTCCTTAGCGGTGGAGGTAAGTCATTCCAGATACCCGCTGCATAATACGTGAAACAGCCCCTATATCGTGTTGTTTTATGTTTACGTATAGCCAGCAAGTTCAAAGTGACAGATCGGAGACTCCTATGCGTAATATTTTTTATCCACGTGAATTTTTCAAATAGGTATTCCCGGGTTTTACTCTATACCAGCTTATGAATGCACTCTAAATACGACTGCAGTATTTTTGTGTGTATGTACTACGCATTGCTTGAACACGTGGACAACTGCCTCTGTGGCCGAACGGTTACCAAGCCAGATTGCCACGCAGAGGTCCTAGGTTCGATTCGGATTCGGATACGATATCGTTATCCAACAGCGTTTACGGAGTTAGTCGGTGAAATAGATTATAAGAAAAATGAAAATCCTTTTTATACATTTTTATGACTTTAAATGCCTAAAATATAGGAATGCATTAGTCTTGCATTAAAATAAATTAAGAAAATTGAACAAAATCCAGACTTTATTAAAAATAAGAGATTTCCATATTACATTCCTGCTTTGTATACAATAGGACCTTCATTCAATAACTGTGTTCGGAATAAAGTTTTGTGGAGCCCTTGCCGGTCGAGAAGTTCGAGTCATTTCGGTTAGGTTTCGGATACGACAGTTTGACGTTCGGTTCGGGTGTTGTGAATGAAAATGAAAAGAAATCGGTCGACAACTTTTATTTTTATATAGGTACCATGTGGCAAGTTACACACCTGTAGATAACTGCTTCTGTGCCACTCCGAGCTTTAAATCGCAAATGTGTGTCATTAATTATTCTAAAATACTTATCCGCTCACGCGATGCGCTCATTCTACCGCAAAATGGCGGCTATTTGGTTTCGCAAATTAGAAAAAGATTCAGTTTAAACACAAGTTTTTGTAAATAAAAATTATTATTCTGCATTGCTAAATAAAT